GCCCCCCTCCCTTTCCTATTCTCTCTCACACACACGCGCACATCACATCACACGCACACACACATCACACGCGTGCGCGCGCCACCCCCTCCACTGTAATATTTATGACAAAACCGAGGCAAAATATTCTGGTCACGTTTGCGGCTGACAGCCGGCTGTCCTGGAGAGCGCGTGAAGCAGAGGGGTCCAGAGCTGGAGGAGGAGGCGCAGCGCACCGACACCTGCAGTGGGATGTAAAGGGGATCCCCAGCAACCAAAAAACTGGTAAGTTTTCGCGCATTCGTTTTCTCCCGAAAGCTGTTCATTGTGCAGGTGAAGGCAAATGTCCAAAAAGGGAAAAGGAAAAGAAGAGGTCGCATCATGATTTTGATGAGGGGGAAATTGCAGTATAAGAATGTGAGATATTTCCTTATCTTCTGCAATTTGACTCAAGAAACTGTTGGGATTTCTAACAGGGGACATGGCAACAGCATGCAGACTTTTAGAGTATCTTTGTTTGCATTTGTGGATGAGGCTGTTAATAAATCAGTTCTTCGAAAAATACCGTTTTAAATGGAGATTTGAACAAAATGTCTAAGTGAGCCATTGCCCTCAGACTGTTGATGCTTCAGGAATGCTTGATGCTGAACATGGAGGTGGCCCCTTTGATCATTTTTAAGAGCAGTGGCTGAGTCAAGTTTTGACATTTCATTTCACGTTGCAATTGCTCTGTGTGGAAGTCCTGAACTGTCATAACCTCATGAGACCAGGACTTTAAGGGGATTGTTGACAGAGGGACCAAAAGTCTGGATCAGTGCAGCATGTTTAAATTTTCATAGTGTGACTTCATGTTAACATTTTCTTGGCTTAAAATCGGTTTTTGCATGTAAATTTGAAGCTGATTGTGTCCAAATAAACTCTGTTTTTGTTTTGCTTTTTTTTTGTGATCACTCTGCATTTTTATGAATTTGAAGGAGTGCTCTGTCGTTGGTAAGCTTTGAACAGCGTGCAGTTGGTGCAGCAGCATCTCTGGGAAACTTTGCACCTGCAGAGCATCGTCATGTGAAGTTACTGAAGATGTTAAACCCACGTCATATTCCATTAGTTGCGCTGTGTCAGGAGAATGAAGGAGGGCTGTTTTCACTTGAAACTTCAAAGCATCATATTAGGACTGTCTAAAATGTCTTCCTGGTGTTTTTGCCATGTGGCAGCTTATACGATTTAAAAAAATCAAAAATCTCTGACTTCAGTCTTTTTGACAACCTTTTTATTTTTTTTATTTTTTCAAATATTGTTTCCTGCAACGTTTGTTAAATTGTCTGGCCATATTGCATTCCATGTTTCTTTGAGWTTCAAGCACTAAATATTTAATAATAATTAGAATTAATAGACAGGAGCTTGTTTTTTCAAAGACTTAGTTGAAAGTCAGATATTTGAGTGAAATGTTGAAAATGCAGCTGAATTCTGCTSCTTGAGAACAATAATATCTTCGATTTTCATGCGTATGCTGTGATTGAATCATCTGAAAACATGTCATGTAAGCTTAACCATCTTATTTTAAAAGTAAGYAGAACACACTGAAAATAAACACACACAATGATTTATAAAAGTGGGGTAAAACATGTTTTAGCTTGATTTGCACGCTTATCTGAGAGGTGTGATTCCCACACGAACAATTGTTTTCTTTCACTGTCAGGGCTCGAGCATTTTTGCTTTTCACACGGGACATTGTTGGTTTGCATCTATAAATGTATTTATGGAGAAGCTTTGATGCTGCTGGTGGGGAAACATTCCATCACACACACACACACACACACACACACACACACACACACACACA